GTTGTTGACAAGACACACTAAACATTTGTAAACGAGGTATGTGATATACTGCAGCCATACCGAAAGTGAGTCAAGCTATTCTTGCAACGTGATTAAGTATTAAGTCAATACAGTAAATAGGCCGAATCTGTACAGTTACACCAGAGCCGAACGGCTTTGAGAATGTACTTTGCCAAATACGCACCAGGTAAAGAGTGCAGAACCAATGTTGGACAAAGTAATAACTGCGGTTTGTGGGGACGACGACATGTACAACAACCAGATTCCTATATGAGCCAAAAAGCAGCAGGCGTAGGTTACTTGGCGGAGCTGATAAGTCAGTGTATGGACTTGTTTACTGCTCTGAAAGCAAGATAGAAATAAGTTTTAGCATAAGCCCAGGCCCTGTAAATGTCTGGCGATGTTCACGTATTTTTTTTCCCCATTAATGTCAGAGATAGAGATTTTGTAAACATGTAAACATTACATGTTACATTTTTGATTCATTGCGATTATGATTTTTTTTCCAATGCATTTTCGGTATTCCAAGTGTCGGCTGTTGAGTAAATATACAAGTTGTTTAAATAGATACATTGCTTGATCTTTTGATGAAATTTTTTCATTTTTTCAAACTCGCTGATTGACCCCAAAAATCCCAATCGCATAAAGCCTAGTTTAGGGTCACCAACAACACACCACTTTTGTACACACACACACACACACACACACACACACACACACACACACACACACACACACACACACACACACACACACACACACACACACACACACACTCTGATGACATTAGATCCGTTGCATGCTGTTCTGCATTTCATGACAGCAGGTCGTGTTCCTAATATAAATAACAGAAGGATACCCACGTAAACAAGTAAGCACTCACAGTATGACTCACAATTTGCTCCACTCAGGGAGGAGGTCATTAGAAGGAAGTATCTACTGTGTGTGTTTGGGTGTGTATGTTTTCGAAGCAGGGCGCACCGCAGGTCGTTGCTCAGTACTACCACAGGAAACGGACAAAATGGTTTTCAAAAGCACGCACACACACACGCACGCACGCACGCGCACACACACACACACACACACACACACACACACACACACACACACACACACACACACACACACACACGCAGGCACGCACGCACGCAGGCACGCAGGCAGGCACGCACATGTATTTTGCAGACCAATACACAACATGGACAGAAGGCTTGAATTCGGCTCATTCAACAGTCACTAATCAGGTCTACTGGAGAGTCACGACACATAAAAGGCAGACAAACATTGAAACTATTTCAAGTCATTTATAAATTAAATGAGTGGATATAACTGATAAATGTCATGATCAAAAACTGCAACCCTATATATCCTGTATCAAACGTAAAAAAGTAAATCATAGGAAATGCTGAGAGGACACATTTCACCCAGGTATCCATAAGGACCGCCGCACACTGAGAGATGCAGCAGAACACTCACGCAGTGTGCAGGTTTCTGCCACAAGATGTCACGATGCAATGCGACATATTGTATGGGGAGCCTCTGAACGCGCTACAGGCTGGCATATTTCAGATCACAGGGAGTCCACACATTAAACTGTACAATGCGCTAAGAAGAATAGCCAACTGTGGTAATTTTTTGGAATACAGAAGCATCGAGCAGTAAGCGGTGGCCCTGAGGTGTTTTCTTTTCTCAATGTAACACAATGTACTTGCGACACTCCACTCACTACTAAAAAAGGGCTGCAGTATTTTTGCAGAACTGCAATGACCAAGTGAAACAAAAACTAAAGTTATCTTGGGCTTAACATTTTAAGAGTGCAGCCCTTCTCAAATACTGGGGCAAGGGGGTTCAATGCCTGGAGCAGGGGTGCCCATTACGTCGATCCTGATCTACCAGTAGATCTAGGACTCATCCCAATTAGATCCGAAAGGTGCAGGGGAGAAAAAAAAAACAAAAACAAAAACATTTGTGTGTCTTTGTACATGTTAGTAATATATATTTTTTGTGTTAATTCACACTGCACCCTAATCATGCTATCAGTCTCATTTTCCCAAAGAAAGATTTTAAAAATTAAATAAAATAAAGCAGGTAAATCTTTAACCTACGGTGGCGCGTGGCTACGTCACCGGAAGTTGTTAGCGCTCAGCAGTCTGCAATTGCAGCTTGTGATCAGAGCTGTTGCGCTATATCTCTGATCGTCATTATTCTCATTCAGAGTTTGCTTCGTGTACAATTCACCGAGGGCACGGGCAAAGAATAGGAATCTGAGGGAATGCTGAGGGAAGCACTTTAAAACGGTACGTGTGAGCTACGATAGTTAAGAGGCTGCAAAAGTGCATCGCTTACTTCCGTGTTTGGCTTCTCATCATAGCGTGTGTGCGCGTGTGCGTGCGTGTGTGCACGGTAAGGGGCGATCCCGGGAGGTTGGTCGAACGAAAAGTAGATCTTCAGTCCAAAAAGTTTAGGCACCCCTGGCCTGGAGGATGCCTGGAGGATCTCCAGGGTGACACCCTGGCGAACATACTTTTTTTGCCCTGTTAGAATAAAGTGTAATTGATCAATTAATACTGTCGGTGGCAGTGGCAATGTCTCTCTCTCTCTCTCTCTCTCTCTCTCTCTCTCTCTCTCTCTCTCTCTCTCTCTCTCTTTCTGTCTGTCTCACTGTCTCTGTCTTTTACTTTTAATTCAGGCAAATTAATGCACATCAAATCGTTGTTGTTAACAGGGCCGGAGCTACAGGGTGACCAGGGGTGGCCAAAGCCAAACTTTGTCGCGCTGTAGCCACCCCCTTAGCCACGCCCATACCGAGAAGAATGTTAATATCCGTTATTTTTCTACCATTTTCACATGGAGGTAGTATTCTTAGACCCCTTTATAATCTGTCACACTTGTTTTTTTTTTTTATGTTAACTATTTATTCAAAGAATAAACAATTGATCTGAATGCAAACTCCAATATAATGTGTTTTAAATAAATAACATTAAAATGTTTTAGTCAACTTCATTCAAAATCATGACTTTCACACCATAGCAAAGAAACATCATGGAGGAGAAGTCATTGTTTATTATACTATCCACAATCATGGTTTCATGAAATAAAATGCACACATATACCAATCTCGCAGAAAATAAAAACTGTATTTCAAATTTCTAAGAACTGGGAGACTTCTGAGGCTTTGCGCTTCTTAGGTATGTTTTGAATGAAAGAGTCATTGATTGTACAATGAAACTCCTCTACAACGAAACCATGTTTGCAGCAAGAAATTTTTCACAACGGGACTTTTCACGCTAGCAAATTTTATCTCAGATGTAAACACACACACACACACACACACACACACACACACACACACACACACACACACACACACACACACACACACACACACACACACACACACACACAGACACACAAAACGTAAATGTGTACTCTTTATTTTTATTCCAATCGTGCATAAGTATGAGCATACACTTATTGGACACTTCATTCAGCCAGTGTAGAAAGAAAAAAACGGGAACGAAATTGCGAAATTTACGATCAGCATTTACTTTCACTTACATCAATTTCTTGCATAATGTCTTTTATTTTGCTTCCTCCATCTTTCATTTTTATTACTTTTATCCTGTCTTCAAGCGTTAAAGCTTTTCTTTTCTTCACTCCTTTGTCTGCAAAGGTCCGTTTTTGTAGCCATTTTAGCAATGCAACATTTGTGCTGTGTCTGAAACAAACAATAACAAATACTTCCTGTACTACTGCGCATGTGTAAACCAGTGTGGTGGTTGCTGTTGCCGTTTCCGAGCTAAGCAGTAGCGGTGGCTGTGGCAGGCTGAGGTTGGATTAGATTTTTTGGGAAGGCTTGTTTTCATTGCAGTGAACCTCCTTGCGAGGCACGGGTGGAGAAAAGGATTTCGTATTATGCAACGGGGGCTTTTTGTTGTAGGGGGAAGCAGAAAAGAGGTAATGGCTTTAATGCATGAAGAGTTTTTCACACTAGGGGGAATTTTTGCACTTGTAGGTTTCGTTGTCGAGGAGTTTCACTGTTGTATGCAAAATGGCGTCAGCCCTATGTGACAATCGATGACTCTGAGTGGCTTCAGTCAGCGCATGAGATTGAAGATGACTATGAGAGTGCACAAAAGCAAAGCTACTGCAAAGAGATTGACATCATCTAATGGATAAAGCGGAGCAAAATGTTGCTTTTTTTACTTAGATTTGTTCCTGCTTGATTGATGAAAAATTTCTGGTTGCATCCCTGCCTTTTACCGACTTAAAAAAAAGCTATTCTTCATTGTAAGATCATCTATATTTTTTCTTTTATTATTTATATTAATTTATTTAATGTTAAAAAGGATACAAAGATATGTAGAGGTGTACTTAAAACAATTGAAGAAGAATTAAGCTATTTATAGTCATGGCAGAGAGTTGGGGGTGTGTTCCCTTCTTGCTACGGGGGCGGAACAGAAAATAAATGAGAAGCACTGGTTTACAAACATGCAGTGCTGCAAATGAGTGACCAAATTTAACATCTGAACTATTGTATCCTGGATCAACTCTGAAAATGATTTGTACAAGACGAATGGCCCAAGAGTCAAACAAATAGCCTCATTCAACTGAGACACTTCCAGTGCGAGGGTCATGGGACCAAGAGCAATTTTACTGAAAGCATGAATACACTCTTGGTTTGCGTGTTTACAGAATATGGAAGCGATATTCTCAGGACCCCCACTGTAGCAGGATCTCATTACCAGAGCCTAACTCATCACTCAAAACTTGGTTGCCTTCGTTACAGCCTTGACAGTCACTCCCAGCAGACAAATACCCAGAATGATTCGAGTGAATATACTATACATCAGTACACTTAAACAAGTCTTAAACTGGAGTTTGGGAAAGCTGTTTCAAAATTCCTCTTGACTAATACAGCCCATCCTTGACAAATTTCAAACAGTTTTATGCATTAGGCATGCAATTAGTAGTTTTTTTTTTTTTTTGGGAGCACTCACCTTCTGGCCTATACTGCGCTACGATGGCGACCGTTTGTCCTGCATTCTTCAGAGCTGCAGCGGCCTGCTCATGAGTTGCAATCGACAAGTCGACACCATTCACCTAGATCCACAGACACACACATTCAGTAAATTAAATATCCAAATCAAGCAACAACTTGGTATGAATTAAATGCATTGGAAGCGGTTCACGAAATAAACTCAGTAAAACATACCGAGAGGATGCGGTCACCCTTGTGGAGT